GAGGCTGAGAAACACGATGGAGCTGGGCAGAGAGGCATCCACGGTGGCGGCGTCTCTCATCCTTCTCCTGGTAGAAACGGCCAGCGTTCCCCAGGCATCCAGCTAGGTGCCCTTCACAGACTGTCTCATGCTGCCTCGACAGCCTTGTGAGATCACCAGCCCTTGCCATAGGCAAGGAGAGGGGGGCCTCCAGCTGAGTGACCATGCAGGGTCACTGTGGCATCAGGACAGGCGTGTAGGAAGCCAGGCTGCAGCTGTGCGCCCCACGCCTGTGCCTGGCCGGTCTGGGGCTTCAACGGCCGCTGCCTTGGCTGTGAAGGAAGCGAGGGGTCTGGAGGTACAATGGACGAGTGACCTTGGCCATCAGCAGAAGCCCGGAACCTGGGATCTGAGTGGCTCTGGCCAGCTCTCTGCCCCAGCGTGAGTCTCAGCAAAATTTGTGCCTCCTTTTTAGTCTGTCCCCGGAAAGAGAGTCCCCTCCTCCAGTGGAAGAGCTGAGAGTTGTTTGTCACCAAGCAGTGACCATGATGGGGACATTTTCTCTGCCCTCCTATGTCTGTCCCGTTTCACTGCAGACCAATCCAGCCTGAATCAAACTTAAAGAGATGGAAATGGTACCTTCTGCCCAGGAAATAATGAAATCTCCTACTCCCTGCCTGTGACACATATTCTTGCTAAGATTACTAGAAGCAAGAAAGACACAGTGCTTTTGCTCTGGAGACTGAAGAGTTGCTGGCAAAGCGAGCTTCATCCCTGTCTGTAGCGAAGTCCCCATTCCCAAGACCTTGCGTCAGTGTTGAGTCATTGGCTCCTGTGTGAACCCCACAAGGCCAAGTGACCTGTGAGTTATGGGCAAAGTGTCATGCTTGCCCTAGATGAGACTCCTGGCACCTTTGGACCTGAATCAAATGGGTGCAAAAGGGTTAATAAGGACTGTTACACTAAAAGGGACAGAAAACAATCTTAAACGGGCTGTGGCTAAGTTTAAGGGGATGGCCTCTGTTCAGCACGACTGAATCCAGGTACTCAAAGCAGTGTCTGTCTCCTGACTTGGGCACTGCTCTCCTGAGTGCTGGAAGCACCCCAGCAGGCCCACCCTTACCATGCAGCGACAGAGGTAAGGTGCAGCACCGTGTCCTTTTCGCCTCGTCCCCAAGCAAAGCATGTGACCATCTCTCAAGTCAAGCACCACCAGCTGGCATAATGACTTCAGCAATACCCCGTTGTGAACTCCAGCTGCAGGGCCCAGGAGGCTGGGGCGCTGCAGCTCGGAAGCCTGGGTCACGGGGCCCCAGGTGCAGCGGTTGGAAAGGCTGCCCCCAAAAGGTGCCCTGGGCAGGCTGAAACAGCAGATGCCCAGAACTGGGAGATCAGACCTGGGATGTAGCCACATAGATAATAAAAATTGCACTTCTGATTAAAAACAAAGCAGGAAAAGCACATGGAGGGGAGGGGACAGGTAAAAGGGTGATGAGCCCAGGGTTACAGGTGACAGAAGCTCCTGAGGAGGCAGTAGCCAGGTAGAGGGTCGGCTGGTGGAGCAGAGAGCACTATAGCAGGGGAAGGAGCCTCTGGGAAGGGCTGAAGGGGTGCCGGGGTAGGGGGACATGGAGAGCAAGAGGGCAGTGGGATAAGAGGAGGGAGTGCACCCCGTTGGGATGCCACCGTAGTCACATGCACTCTGGGTGGCCAGGAGCCACTGTGAGAAGCTGGTAAACTCCCAGGGGACTCAGGATCAGATTGGCAGCTGCTTTATCTAAGCAGCTGTCTGCCTCTGGAGGAAGTTCAGACCCTGAGTCAGCTGCCAGCACAGCCCATCCTGGGCAAGAAAGCTGTGGCATAAACCCAGCCTCCCGAGCCTGGGCTCCAAGCATCCCGGGAATCTTAGGGCACTGTGGCTGCCTCAAAGCTCTTGACAGATCAAGGTCACCTTGGTCCCTTCTGGATCCTTCAGCTAGTGGCCAGCATGGACAGGGCCAAAGAAACCAGAGATTTCAGCAAAGAGAAGGATTTGGAAATTGATGATGCATTTGAAAAAGGAAGCTTCCCCTGCCAGGCAAAGCTGGAGACACAGCCTTGTTAGCTAATGCGAGTTTAATACGGAGTCAAGGGAGCTGGATGCTGGCCTGGTCAACCACCCAGATATGCCCAAAAATAGAACAGGGCAAGGCATCCCCCACCTGCTCAGCCCCACTCTGCCACCAGAGAGGTGGAGGGCAGCCCAGCAGCAACCTGGGCAACATCGGCCAGACAAAAGCATCACTTCCACATCAATCACTCTGTATAAAGGAAGAGTTATTGTTATGGGATGTTGGCGCCTGATCAATATCTCCTGCTTTGAAAATAAACTTCTTGGCTTGGCCTTGACATTAATCTACCATCAGGAGCCCATTATCTCGAGACCAATGTTCTGTTCTATTGACTTGCTCGATTTTTTTTTTTCTCCCCCAAGATCAGAGCATAATTGCATTTCTCCAGGCAGCACTTCCTCTAATTGCTGCCCGAAGCATAGCCCCTCTTGTGAAGCCCGGGACAGAGTACACGGGGGCTAGAGATGGGGACAGCAGGAGGTCACAGGGCACAAGGACCCTTAGATGTGAGTGGAAGGGTAGCCTGCTGGAGCCCCTGAGTTCATCAGGATGTGAAGTATGATCCCCAGTGTACCCTGAAGTCATACAGACAGAGCAGGGTTCCTAGGGCTAGAGGAGTCCCCATCCCCACCCCTCTTTCCACAGATGAGAGGATGGGGTAGCAAGACTAACCCCAAATCCACATGTGTCCCACATTGCTACAGCCCCCAGCTTGTCCCATGCCACTCTGGCTGGGGTGTCTGATGCTGCAAGAGCTTCCTAGGCCTCTCCCCACAGCCTGCACCTGGCAGGCCGGTCTCCTCCTCCACTCCACAGGCAGAGTCGCCTTTGTCAAATAGAAACCATATGAGGTCCGCTCCCTCACTGAAGGCCTTGTCTGAAACATCCTTAAACCTCCTTCTTCAGGCCTGTAAGACCCTTAGGAGAGCCCTCACCTGCCTCCAGGCCCTGCCTTCCCATTGCTCTTGGCTTGGCTCCCTCTGCTCCAGGCCTCTGGCCTTCTTTGTGTATGATTTTGCTAAGCGTGGCCCTGCCCCAGGCCCTTTACACAGGCCCTCTCTCCACCTGTTCTTTCTCTCTCAGATCACTGCTACTTTTACCTTCTCATGATTTAATTCCCACCTCAAATACGCCCTCCTAAGTGAGGCATTGCCTGGCCAGTGAGGGGAAAGTCGCCTCCCGCACGTCAGCACCGTGCGTCCCTCCAGGGGCTCTGCTTGCCTGTCTTGCAGCACACACCCTCATCTGAAACTGTGTTCCGTACCTGCTGCCATGGAGCAGTGACCTTGCAACGTGCGTCTCAGCCCAGCCAACACCTGTTATCTCCTGCTGCCTCTGCGGGTCAGGGACTCGGGAGTGGCCTGGTGTGCTAGGTCCTGCAGTTACAGTCAGGATACAAGCCAGGGCCGTAGTCATCTGCATGCTGGACAGGGACAGGGCATCACATCTAAGGTGACTCCTGGCATGACTGTTGTCACAGCTGTTGACCGTGCTTCCACGCACCCCAGCTGGACCTTGCCATAGCGCTGCCCAAGTGTCCTCAAACGTGGCAGCTGTGTGCCCAGACCAAGTGATCCCGGAGGGAAGGCCGGAAGCCACAGTGTCTTTTATGATCAACATTTCTGCAATGTCCTGTTGGTTACGGGGCTAGCCCTCTTGTGACTCCTCTGGGCCACCAGCACAGGGGCACAGGTACTGACTGGAATGTAGGTTCATCAGGGGCTGTGTGAAAAGCTGGTCACTGCATGCCCCTTCCACGAGAGCAGGGGCCAGGAATGACTTTTCACCACCATGTGTCCCCAGCACAGTGTCTGGCACATAGCAGGTTTGCCATAAATACTAGCTGAGTGTGTGAATTGTAGTATCTGTATTAATATTGTTATATCTAACAATCAGGATAATGAGGGCACTTTAAAAAGTTCACAGGAGTGCATATGGTGAAGAAACTGCATGGATTTCAAAAACTGCCCCCAAATATGCTTATCCTGAGTTCCATCTTCCCACAGATTTTGTGACGCACCCTGGTAGGTGCCAATGCTGCTGAGCACTTCCCGTGCAGTTTCTCGCCCCCAGCCCTGCGGTGCTTCTCCTTTGCACCCACGGCAGCTGAGGCCTGGAGAAGTGACGAGCTTTGAGCAAAGCTCTCTCTCTGGAGGGTCAGTGTTGCTTAGACTTGCCAAAAATCCCTAAACTGCTGCCACAACAGCACACGTTCAAACCCAGGAGCTCCTTGTGATGCCAAGTATTCCTGCCTGGGAGGCAGGGACGGGAGGAGAAACACCAGGTCGCACAGTGTAATATCCTGACTGCAGAGAGGGTAGGGAGAGGCCCACGGAGCTGCTCCAGGGAGCCCAGCAAGAGGCCCAGAGATCCAGGAGGGCTGTGGGATCTAATGCCAGGGTCAGTAAACCCACCGAGCCTGTAGGCCCTCCCCCATCCCACTCATAACCCTGACAGACATCAGTGTGCTGTCACCACTGACTTCCCCTCTCGGCTCCTGGCGCTACCTGGACTTCTCAGCACAGGGCTCTGCGCATCCACAGTGGTTTAGCACTTACACTCTGCTGTCAGCAAGTGGCTCCACCGCTTACTAACTCGGAGCCCTCCAACAAGTTGCTGAGTTTCTCTGAGACTCGGTTTCTGCGATACTGCCACCTTGACAGGCTTTCTGATGGGGCTGAAGTGCCGCTCCGCACGCGAGGCCCTCAGCAGTGCTCGGCAGCAAGAAGCACTGGCTGCCGTGGGCTGTGTTTACTGCTGCTGTTGTTCCCACATCTTGGGTTCTGTGACCAAGGCTTTAGCTGACAGCCCGCCCCATGCTTTCCCCGATCCCACTAGGAGAGCTGGCTGTTAAGGGGACAATGAGTGAATCAGTGGCTGAAGCATCACCCTCTCTCTCCTCTCCTGCAGGTGTGGATGTGTGGAGGCCGTATGGAGGACATCCCCTGCTCCAGGGTGGGCCATATCTACAGGAAGTATGTGCCCTACAAGGTCCCCGCTGGAGTCAGCCTGGCCCGGGTAAGGTGGTGGCTTTCCAGGGGGAGGAGGGGATGAAAGGGGTCGGCCCTGGCCCATCCGCAGCACTGAGGCCCCCTGGGCTCCCAGGCTGGGTGGTCCCTACTGGGTGAAGCTGCCCCCATTCTCCGGGTGAGAGTCTGTTGAAAAGCATTGTTTAATCACTTAGTTGGCAGTACCAACTCAGGGGCTTTGCTTGGCTCCTCAGAGCCTGTTTCCTCCTTGGTTTCCAGGGAGCTCATTTTGTGTTGCTGCTGCCACTGCTGCTACAGTTGTCATTGGGCTGTTTCTGCAGTAGCTGTATTGTCACCTACAGTTGTACATATTTACAAGCTACCGTGTGACGCTTCAACACAGGTGTGGGACATGTGCTGATCCAGCCAGGGTAATCACGGTTCCCCCTCCCTGTCCTCACTTTAGGACTGGGGCCTTGGAGGTCCTCTTTGCTGGGGTTACTGTGAGCTGTCCTCCCCACTGGGCTGTGTGACTGCAGGGACTTCTTCCATCTAACTCTGATGGGGTCCTCAGTTCCCCACCCCCACCCCACCCCACCCCACCCCAGCCTCTGGTGATCACTGTCCTGTGTTCTAAACGAGCTCCGGGTTTTTTCAGTGCAGGTCTTTGGGGAGAACATGCGGTACTTGTCTTTCTGGGTCTGGCTTCTTTCACTCCAGGTCGACCCATTTTGCTGCGAATGGCAGCATTTCATTCTTTCTATGGTGGAACCATATTGTACTGTGTGTCTGTGCCACATTTTCTTCGGCCATCTGGTGAGGGACACCTTGGTTGATTCTGCATCTTGGCTATCGTGAACAGTGCTGCAGTAAGCATGGTGGAGCATGGGATTTCACATCTTGTAGATCGACACCCAGTAGTGGGATTGCTGGATCATAGGACAGTTTTATTTCTAGTTTTCTGTGGAGTCCCATACCATTTCCCTTAGTGGCTGTGCTAATTTACATTCCCCAAAGCAGTGTGAAGAGTTCCTAAAGGGAGCTGATTCTTTCCAACTCAGCATTGCCAGGAGGATGAAGGAGATGCTGCAGCTTCCCAAAGCGTGACGGATGAGCCAAGCTTAGGTGGTAGACATTTTTCATTGTCGTGTGTTTAAATTCATGTGGATTAGGAATTAACAGGTATTAGCGTGGCAAACTTGGGGCTTCACAGACATGATTACTTAGGACCAAGCTCAAGGAAACAAAGTCAGAGCAGGAGTGGTTCAAAGACACGTGTTGGGTAAATGGTAACACAGGCAGTGGGCTGTGCTGGCCAGTGCCTGTGACAAGGTGTTCCAGAGTCCCTGGGGTAGAAAGGGTTAATATATGTCTTTCTCCTCTCCCCACCACCTTACCACTTTCATTGACAAAAACTGTATCAAATTAGTTCACTGCCTGAAAATGCTTTGTATCAATTATTGCTTGCATTGCATTAGCCACTGGCTACAAATGGAAATCTGTTAGCTAGGAAGACTTTTTTTCTTCTTCTTTTGAAATTAATGTCTTGGAGGGAAAAAAATAATTAAAGTGACCACAAAAGTAAAACTGAAGCAGAGGGAGAGTCCCCAAAGGGTAGAGAGAGCGTCAGAGAGGATTGGGGGAACATGCCCCACCACCCACTCCTGCGGCAAGTCAGTCTGGTCTGGCATCAAGTCCAAGGTGCCTCTCACCCCATCACCGCCTCTTCCTGCCTCAACTGACAGTCTCGACGCACAGAACTGTCGCTCCTGGGTCGAGGAGTGCCGGCGTCCTGTGTCTTAAAAGGAAAACCGTAAGAGGCCATAAGAGGCTCTGCGTCTCCCTGGGCTGCATCCGTGGGTGGGAGCTGAGCTCTGGACACGCTGCGACGACGCTGGCTGCTTTGAGGGCCAGCCTTGAAGGAAAGGAGAGCCGGCAGCGCCCTCTAGTGTTAGCCGTTGCTAACGCAGCCTCACCAGCCGCTAGCACTTCGGATAGACCTGTAGGGCGATATGTTGAGTTGTTGATTGAGCCTGTGAAGCCGCCGGTGCGGACTGTCTTGTGAGATACCCCTGGAGGCCTCCGAGGAACGTTCCGGACAGGACAGCAGCGCGCAGTGTGTAAGGAAGCCCAAGACTGAGGCCTTTGCAGCTGCAAGGGACACCTGAGCAGAACCAAGCCCAGGACCTCCCTTTCCTGTGCAGAGCTGTCTGCACACCAGAGACTGTTTATCAAAGCATACATTAATTCAGTGGATAATAGCGAACTGCAGTGATGCAGACCAAAGCAGAGCGCCTCCCGTGCTTGTCTTAATTGGTTCTTATCTGTTGTTTTCCCCCCAGATTAGTGATGAAGACAGCATAACACGGAGACCCTCAGCCACAGGAGCCAGAAGGCAAACCTGTTTAGATGTGACAGGTGCCTGGCATGGAGCAGTCGCTCCGTCAGTGGTGGCTGCCATTGGGAGGATCAGTGTCAGCATCACTGTGAACACTGCAGACTGCCAAGTGTGTTTCAGGGTCCTGTCTGAGTTCCATGCCTGGGCATTCAGCATAGCCCTTTGCTGGCTGTGCTGAGTCGGTGTCCTGCGTGTGGCTGTGAGCTGGTTCACGATTCCTTGCCTCCTGCCCGGGCTCTCCTCTGTGAGCCCTGTGACCTGCGAGGTCTCACCATACATAGTTTGGCAGAACCACAAAGATGCCCGAAATGAGTACCTGTGGCCTTTCTTTGCTGCATCCTCTTTAAAATGTTTGCTCAGTCTTTTTAACTACTGAATCCTAAGCCTTCTAGGTTGGTATCTCCTGTAACGTTGCTTGATAGATTTGCGGAGAGGTAGTCTCAGAGCTCTGAGAAAGCCAGATTAAGAGGGAAGCTGAGGGGCCCATGCTGTGGCTTAACAGGGAAAGTCACCACCTGTGGCACTGTCATCCCATATGGATATCCCAGCTGCCCCACTTCCGATCCAGCTCCCACCTAAAGTACCTGGGAAAGCAGCGCAGGATGGCCCAAGTGCTTGGGCCCCTGCACCCACGTAGGAGACTGGAAGAAGCTCCTGGCTCCTGGCTTCCAACTGGCCCAGCTCTGGCTGTTGTGGCCATTTAGGGTGTGAACCAGCAGATGAGAGACCTCTCTCTCTCTCTCTCTCTCTCTCTCTCTCTCTCTCTCTCTCCCTCCCTCTCTCCCACTCTGTTACTTTGCCTCTCAAATAAATAAATCTTTATTTAAAAAGAAAGAGGGAAGCTGAAACTGTGCAGACTGCAGGGCAGACTGATGGACACCTGTGGTTCACCCGCTTACCCACCTCAGGAACAGGTGGCCAGCCTTGCTTTCTCTGTGTGTTGAACTTGCTCAGATCTTTCTGGTCTCTACCTCTGGGAAAGGACCCTTAGGGAAGGCAGTGACAGGCACCCTCTCAGACTTGGTGAAACCAAAGCGGAGGCTTTTCCCAGGATCCAGCTAGTCTCTGTAACACAGGCACAATGAATGCAGACAGGACTGGGACTCGGAGCCAGAGAGGTGTTAGAGTAGGGGATGAAGCATGTGATGCCTGTGAAAATCCTAAGGGGAGGTAGAAGGGAAGCAAATGTGAAGTCCTTTCCTTGGCTGCAAACAGTCAACTGCACAAAAGGTTGGGATCTCGGAGAAACGGTTATTAAGCTATGTCTAGAAATTCTCAGAATGCAGTATCAGGGCAGGTGTTTGGCACAGCGGTTCAGACACTGCTTGGGCTGCCCATATCCTGTCTCATGATGCCTGGGTTTAAATGCTGGCTCTGCTCCCAGTTCCAGCTTCCTGCTGATGTGCACCCTGGGAGGCAGGAGACAGATGATGGCTGAAGTAGTTGGGTCCCTGCCACCCCCAAGGAAGACCCAGACTGATTTCTCCTGGCTCCTGGCTTCCACCTGACCCAGCTCTGGACTGTTGGGGGGAATTTGGGGAGTGAACAAACAGATAGGAGGTCTCTCTTTGTCTCTCTGCCTTTCCAATAGATAATTTTTAAAAATTTAAAAAAGAATTCAAATAGTAATTAAAACACGAATTAAGATTAAGACATTATGTTATTTAGCCCTTTAAGAGCAGTGAGTTGCAGCAGCTTTCCCATGATGCTAAAGAGTGGACAGGGAGCCAGAGGATGTGGGGGACCAGCCTGCCACGGGAGAGCAAAGTCTGTGCTTCTCAGTGTTCAGGTCTCTGGGCCTCCAGCTTCCCGTGGGCACAGAGCCTTCGCTGTGCAGGGCCTGGTGGGGAGAACCCTGGTTCCGAGGTCCTGTCTGCCCCGCTGTGGCCTCTGTAGCACTTGGGGAGAACCAGGCAGCAGCAAGGAAATGCAGGAGCTTCTTGCTCCTGCCCTCAGAGCCAGCAGATTGGAGGGCTGGAGGAGTTTGTCTCCAGCTGGGCGGGAGTGGGGGTGGGGTCTGCCTCCTGTCGGCTTCCTCCCAGTCATTCAGGTGATAAACTGTCTCCGCCTGACAGGAGCTTAGGCTGGCTTCCACATTCTAAATAGTTGGGGGAAACATCAAAAGCAGAGGAATATTCCGTGACACATGAAAATCAGATCTCAGTGTCCATAAAGTTTTATTGGAACAGAGCCACGCCCATTCATTTATATAGCGGCTGTGGCTGCTTTATAGCTTCGTGGAGGGTTGAGGCCATATGGCCTGCAGAGCCTGAAATATTTACTCTGGGGCTTTTTACAGAAAGCATGGAAGCATTTGCCAGCCAGTTCCCTTCTGCTCCCAGAGTGGTCGTTCGCACGTGGGCGTGAATGACAGCCTGCAGGCTGGCTCCCTTTCCCCTTCACAGGGACATTTGCATTGCAGTAGGGACACAGTGGTAACCTGGGGGTCAGACGAGGATCAGATGGGTGTGTTGGGAGAGTTGGTGTGGGGAGGCAGCAGCCAGGGGCTGAAGGACGTTGGAGCAGGGTTTCTTCTGAGCTCTGAGCTGTGCCGTCAGGTGTCCCTGGAGGCCCATCGTCACTGCAGATGGAATGAGTGCTTTCTATCAGAATGATGCACACATTTCAGTCTTCATCAGACTGGCTGGCTTTTTACCTTGCAGTCCAATCAGAACCAAAGAAATTCATCCCAATAGTTCCAGAGAAAATTCCAAGGCTCATAATGCCTACTGGTTCTGATTGGGTTGGCTTAGGTCACATGCTCACAGCCAGCCAACCCCTGTGTCCAGGGATGTCTGTACTGACATTAGGCTGTCGAGGTCCTGTACCCTCCCCCAGCCACATGAAGGGGCAGCTCCTGAAAGGAGAATTGGTGGTAGAGGTGGGAAACGGGCAGTCAGAGCACCAGTAGTGTGCCACTCAGCTGTGAGTTGTAAATTCTGCAAACCATGCATAAATAATAAATGGAAATACAGACGGCCTTGGGGCAGGCATCTGTACAGTGGATAACACACCACTTGGGGTGCCCGTCTGGGCTTGAGTCCAGGTTCTGGTTCCAATTCCAGCTTCCTGCTGCTGCACACCCTGGGAGGAAACAGATGATAGTTCAAGTAACTGGGTCCCTGCCACACACATGGGAGATACAGACTGAGTGTCATTCTTGGTTTTGGCCTGACCTAACCCTGGCTGTTGTGGGCGCCTGGAGAGTGGACCAGCAGATGATAGCTTACTCGCTTGCTCAACATGCCTCTCTTTCTCTGTGCGTGTGAGAGAGAGTACGTGTCTGCCTTTTTTTACTTATTTTTTTTAAGATGTAGCTATTTATTTGAAAAGCAGAACTACAGAGAGAGAGAGAGGTCGTCCATCCACTGGTTCACTCTCCAAATGGCCCCAACAGCCAAGGCTGGGCTAGACTGAAGCCAGGAGCTAGATCTTCCGTGTCTCCCACATGGGTGCAGGGTCCCAAGCGCTTGGACCATGCTCCGCTGCTTTGTCAGGTGCATTAGAGGGAGCTGGATTGGAAGTGGAGCAGCAAGGACTCAAACTGGCGCCCATATGGGATGCCAGCGCCACAGGCAGCAGCTTTACCAGCTAGGCCACAGCACTGGCTCCCTGTCTGCCTTTCAAAAAAATAGAGAATTAAAGAAAGCCAAAAAGCATGGCACATTTTTGATACAATGTAAAATAAGAAAGGTTGACCTCAACCTGCCATCACCCTCTGCACCCCACCTGCTGACCTCTGCCCCTCAGTGAACCTGGCCCCTCTGTCTGCCTCTCACCCCCAGAACCTTAAGCGAGTGGCGGAAGTGTGGATGGACGAATACGCCGAGTACATCTACCAGCGCCGGCCTGAGTACCGCCACCTCTCCGCGGGCGACGTGGCCGCGCAGAAAAAGCTCCGCAGCTCCCTCAACTGCAAGAGTTTCAAGTGGTTTATGACCAAGATCGCCTGGGACCTGCCCAAATTCTACCCGCCTGTGGAGCCCCCTGCCGCAGCCTGGGGGGAGGTGAGTGCGGAGGGCTGGGTGGGCTGAGCGTTTACAGGGCTCAGTACGAAATGCAAGTGCACTTTCTCTGGAAGACAGGGAAAAAAAGTGCCGTGAAAGGTATAAAATATAAAACTGTGCCCCTATCCTTTCTGGTCTCTCTCCAGACTTGTTCTCTTGTTAGTGTTATAAGAAAAGGAAAATGTGAGATGATGAGTGTGACTCTTATCTTTCATCATATTATACCTTGGTAGCTTTAAATGCAAAGTAAGAGCATGTCACTCATGTTGGGAATGTGGGAAATGCCCAAATCTTTGTTTAGACCTCAGACACGCGTATGCATTTCTTACCAGAGCTGAGACACTATGGAAAACTAAGTCAGCTCTCTTCATTTCTCTCATTTTTTTAAAGATTTATTTATTTGAAAGGCAGAGAGAGATAGAGAAAGAGGGAGAGAAAGAAGGATCTTCCATCCACTGGCTTGCTCCCCAAATGGCCCCAACAGCCAGGGATATGCCAGGTTGAAGCCAGGAGCCAAGAACTCTGAGTCTCCTGTGTGGGTGGCAGGGGCCCAGGTACTTAGGCCATCATGTGCTGCCTCCCAGGCACAGTAGCAGGAATCTAGATTGGAAGCCAGAACTCAACAAGCATTCCAGTACTGGATGCAGGCATCCCAAACCACGGCTTAACCCACGGTGCCACAACACCTGCCCCTTGCTTCATTTCTTGATAATGCATGTGTCCTACCAGTCCTCCCCACCTCCCTTCCTAATGAGTATGGAAGGGCTGAAAGGAGAAGGAACTAGGACTGGCCCTCTCCTTCCCTTTCCTGCATAAGTGGCTGGCCACACAGGGCAACACAGCAGGGAAGAAAGGACCTGAGAGGGCTCCTGGCGAAGTCCTATTTCTTCAATGCCATTGCCATGGTTTTTTGTTTTGTTTTTAAAGGTTTCCTTTATTATTTATTTGAGAGGCACAGTTACAGACAGAGAGAGGGAGAGGAAGAGACAGAGAGAGAGAGGTCTTCATCCTCTGGTTCACTCCCCAGTTGGCTGCAATAACTGGAGCTGCACCTGTCCGAAGCCAGGAGCTTCTTCCGGGTCTCCCACGGGGGTGCAGGGGCCCAAGAACTTGGGCCATCTTCTGCTGTTTTCCCAGGCCATAGCTGAGAGCTGGATGGGAAGAGAAGCAGCTGAGACATGAACTGGCACCTGTATGGGATACCACACCACAGGCAGAGGCTTAGCCTACTACGCCACAGCGCAGGCCCCAGGAAGTTCTGTTTGAAGGGAAAGCCTGGCCTCTCAGATCTGCCATGACCGCCCTCTAGTCACAGACGTAATACACTTGCCCTGTACTCACCTGAGTCTCACTGGGCCCCTCGTGCATTTTGGGTCCACTGCAGTGGGGTGCCCACAGGGCATTGTAGATGCGGTGTGCAGACGGCAGGGAGGGGAATGGTGAACACTCTCACAGCACATACCTCCTCTGCTTGCCCCTGTGCCCCATTGCCCCTGTTTATTTCACTCACAAGATACAGTGTGAGGATAAAATAATTAAAAATGTTAAGACAAGGGTGAGTGTTTGAGCTACAGGTTAGACACTGGTTAGGATGCCCGTGTCCCACATCCAAGTACCTAGGTTTCATACCTACCTCCAGTTTCCTGCTAATGCAGACCCTTTGAAGCAGCAGGGAATTGGGTCCCTGCCACCCATGTGAGAGACCTGGATTGAGTTTCCAGCTCCCAGCTTTGGCCCAGCCCAGTCACAGCCATTGCAGGAATTTGGGGAGTGAATCCATGGATGGGAGTATACTTTCTCTGTCGGAGGCTCACAAATAAGCTTTAAAAAAACACCTTTTTAAAAAACAATTTTTTAAGATAACAACAGCAGAGCTTTAAACCCCGCACAGGCCCCCTGGAGCATCACGCAGAAAGCCTCTGATGGAGGAGGCAGGGAAGCACACCATTGTCCATCCTGGGTCTCCAGGCTCAGGGACCCCTTCGGGGCTTAGAGAGGGAGAGCATGTGTGCTGGGCTCTTTCAGAAGCCACAAGGGGGACTTCATTGGCTCTCACAGGAGACTAGATCCTGGGGCCCAAATGATGGCAATCTCCTTTTCTCCTGCCTCACTCGACTTCCTTCTGTGTCGGCCTCACCAAAAGTAGCACAATGGCTTCTAGAAGCTTCAGGCTGGCCAGCCTCCCAGCTTGGCCAACCCAGCAGGAAGCAGATCTCTTTCCCAGCCAAGCCAGCAAAGGTGCAGCAATCAAGTCTTAGTCTTGGATCCTGCACCGACAGCTGTGGCCACTGTGAGAAGGGGAAAGCAAAGGCAAAGTGGATACTCGGGCCACAGGGTGGGCCAGGCGCAGTAGTGCCCCAGGGATGAGTGTGCTCTTCTGGGGCAGCAGAAAAGCCACTGGGAGGCGGAAACACTGCTTGTGCCTTGCTCAGAGCCACACAGCGGCTTAGCAAGCCCATCCCCCGGGGTCTGGCCGGCCCCACCACAGCCCCCTCCCCTGTGTCTGGAACACGTGGCCTGTCCCGAAGCTCTGGTTCTGGGTTCTTCGCCACTACTTTGGTTTCGCCCCAGCTTCAGTCCAAGTCCTCCAAGAAGCGGATACCACCGTGGCATTAGATGTGCGACAGATGCACTTAGGGAAATCCCTGAGAGGGAGAAACTGAGGAGGAGGAGCTGGAGGAAGTTGGGCAAGAGGGAAGGAGGGAGGAGGGCTGGGGAGGGAGGGTCCTAGACTGCAGTGTGGCTCCAGGAAGTTTAGGCTGGGTTAATGGAGGGGCTGCTAGCGAAATCACCTGTTGGGAGGCCCCACCTCCCTCCTCACTGGCTGGGGCAGCCCAGGCTGCAGTACGAAGCCACAGGGGGCTTCAGACTCCCTGTAACTGGAAACAGAAATCAGAGTGGCCATTTCCATATGCGCCACGTCCTCCTGCTGCTCAGACCCAACAGGAGCAGTACGTGTGAGGCAGGACCGGTACAACGTGGCACAGAGCACCTTGCACAGTGGCCTGCCCCTAGTACGAGTGTGGTCAGTATCTGTTGGCTAAGCCAGCAAGTAGCCTAGGGCTGCTGACTCCCCTCCCAGGTCTCCCTGCACCACAGCCACTGTCTCCGTGGGTGAAGAAGGAGACCCCTGCTATGCTGTGGGACTCCCACCGCCTCTGGCTGCTCGCTGGCCCTTTAAGGCACAGAGTCCCAGACCACCTGCACCAGAGTCACAGGCAATGGGGGTAAAATTCAATTGCTGGGCATAGTGGATGAAATTCTCAGGGACTGGGGCCAGGAAACTCCTTGTAACAACTTCCCCCTCCAGTCCTCCCTCCACTCCCAGCCTGCCTGCTCTAAGCACAGCAGTGTCTTGGGATTTCCTGCTTTGTACTGAGCATCCTTTGCTGAAAGGCTGAAGGTACTTCCTGCATCCCAGGGCAAGCTTTACTAAGCCAAGCCAGAGCTCAGGTTTGTGCCCTGGCCCAAACTCACCTCCAGCCAGCGCCCTTTGGGTACCTTGAGGCACCTCACGGGTCCACTCCTTCCTTCTTTCCCTCTCAGATTCGCAATGTGGGCACCGGGCTATGTGCAGACACCAAGCACTGGGCCCTGGGCTCGCCTCTGAGGCTGGAGAGCTGCGTCCGGGACCGCGGAGAGGCCGCGTGGAACAGCATGCAGGTGAGGACCGCTGCCCGGGGCCTGAGCCTGGCTTCCCCATGCTGTCTGCAGCCTGGGCTATGCAGTGATCAGAGCTGGGAGGGGCGGCCTGGGTCAGCGGTGAGTAACGATTGGCAGGCTCGGGGATGGGTTGGTTATAGGAGACTCCTGTACGCCGTGGAGGCATACATACTCACAGTCACTACAGTGAATCCAGCTGGGCTGCTGGGGTCACAAATGACAGGCACCTGGCCTACATAATGGTCAACGAAAAGAGGGAATTAGTGGCCTAGGTCACTGAAAGGTCTTGGTGTTATCACCTGGGCCTCTGCAGAGCCTGCTTCTCTCTCTGTTGTTGTTGTTTTTTTTTTTTTTTTTTTTTTAAAGATCTATTAATTTATTTGAAAGAGTTATACACAGAGAGAAGGAGAGGCAGAGAGAAAGGTCTTCCATCTGCTGATTCACTCCCCAGTTGGCCACACGGCTAGAGCTGGGCCGATCTGAAGCCAGGAGCCAGAAGCTTCCTCTGGGTCTCCCACATGGGTGCAGGGGCCCAAGGACTTGGGCCATCTTCTACTGCTTTCCCAGGCCATAGCAGAGAGCTGGATCAAAAGTGGAGCAGCCCGACATGAACCGGCACCCATATGGGATGCCGGCACTGCAGGCAGTAGCTTTACCCGCTACGCCGGAGCGCCGGCCCCTGACTGCCTTCTTAACCTGGCTCTCCTCACATGGCCGCCAGCAGCCCGCAGTGGGTAGGCACGTCCCCTTCTGAATGTTCTGAAAAAGACATGGGGCTCTCACGATTCAGGGAGGTGAGGACGTCCTCGTGTGGGTGGGGTCTGGGGCTTGTGCCCACTCGTGGTCACCCAGAGGATAGGCAAGAAGGTGGGAGAGTGCCATCCCTCATCCCTGAGGGATGTTTCCTGAAGAACGCAGAGTGGAAGTCGCAGCCTGGCGGGAAGATCTGCCTCTCCCAGGCAGTTGCCTGCAGCTTTCTGGCGTCCTCTCCTCCACGCGGTTAACCACACTCTTGAATAGCTCAGCATCTCTGACTCTGGGTCTGAGGATACATTTTTCATCTTACTGTGGATTTTCTGGCACTTTAGAAGTCTGATATGTCTGATAGCACGGGTTCCCCACATATGCAGGACTCAGAAGAAAGGAACATACAGTACACACACCAAGAACAGCTGCTGCCACCACCTGGCCAGCTCTGCACCCACCTCCCCCAGAATGCCTGCCTCTCTGCTGCAGCCTTCCTGATAACAATTCTAGGAGTGGCTCTCCCGGACACGTTCATCAGAATTCCACTCCCCACTGCCACCCTACCCTGCAGCTGCAAGAGACCCCTGAACAGAAGTTGCCCAGGGAGCCTCACTGTGTGGCAGAGAGTGCACGTTCGTGCCTGTGGACTCGCTCAAACAAGCAAAGCAGGGTGCCTGTGTGGGTGGCTACGCCAGCCTCCACCTGCTGAGAAGGGAAGCATGACAGCCCATTACCCCAGTGAGATCTGCATGGCCTGCGAATGATGTCAGAAATACCCACTCGGCCGTTGACAGGAAAAAAGTTGCCCAGCCCTGCAGAGGCAGAAATGAGAGGCTCAAAGGCAGCTCCTGAGCTGGAGAAGGCCTGGGAAATAAACAGGAAGCAGCGGCTGCCATCCCCACACGGTCCCCACATTGGCCAAGGAGGAGTAACAGGGACTGAACATAGCCTCCTGCCCAAAACAATGAAAACATGGGCATAAGATGCAAAACAACGGGACTCTTCAATTTTAAAAATTTATTTATTCAAAAGGCAGAACTACAGAGAGGGAGGGAGGGAGGGAGAGAGAGAGAGAGAGAGAGAGAGAGATCCTCCATCTACTGGTTCACTCCCCCAGATGGCCACAGCAGCCAGGACTGGTCCTGGCTGAAGCCAGGAACTTCTGGGTCTTCCATGTGGGTGCAGGGACCCAAGCACTTGCGCTGTCTTCCACTGCCTTCCCAGGTGTGTTAACAGGGAGCTAGATCAGAAGTGGAGCAGCCAGGACTTGAACCTGCACTCTGATAGGGATGTCAACATTGCCAGTGGAGGTTTAACCCACTGTTCTACAATGCAACATCAGCCCTTGAAGATGAGTAATCCTTAACAGATGGGACCCCAGTGAGGTGAGCCCTGTGAGGGTCTCATCCTCTGTCCTTCAGGAACTTGTAGTCCTGGGTCAGGGGGAGAGAACCCAGGTGGAGCCAGGCAGACTCCCTGAATTGCAAAGACAGAGCCAAGAGTACAGGAGACCAAGGTGGCTAGAATTCAAAAACAGAATATGGGAGAGGAGAGACCTAGGCAGAGAGAGCTTCTGAGATTTATATAGGGCTCGCCTTAAATATTCAGCTAAGTGCATGCATGTGAGGACACTTCATGGAGCTAAAGAAAGAGCCACCCAAGAGGCTTAGAGGGAAGAGTGCCTGGAGCCCACACAGGGCCAGGAATAGTGCCCGTTCTCACTAGCCAAAGTGGAAAGCACCATCCTTCTGTTAAAGAAAAGAACATTGTCATTAAAATTTCTCCACAAAGACAAGCCCAGGTCCAGATGTCCTCAATGGTGAATTATACCAAACATTTATGGAAGAGATGTTACCAGTTCTACAAAAACCCTTCCAGGAAAAGGAGGCGTACTTGCCAGCCCATTTTGAAGCTGGCATTACTTTAATACCAAAGCCAAACTAAGACATTATAAGACCAACCACAGACCAACATCTCAGGAACATAAATGCAAAAATTGTATGCAGTGGCCAGTGCTGTGGCGTAATGGGTAAAGCTGCCGCCGGCAGTGCTGGCGTCCCATATGGGTGCCAGTTCAGTCCTGGCTGCTCCACTTCCGATCCAACTCTCTGCTATGGCTTGGGAAATCAGTAGAAGATGGCCCAAGTCCTTGGGTCCCCTGCACCCATGTGGGAGACCCGGAAGAAGCTCCTGGCTCCTGACTTGAGATCGGCGCAGTTCCGGCCGTTGCGACCAATTGGGGAGTGAACCAGCAGATGGAAGACCTCTCTCTCTGTCTCTACCTCTCTCTCTCTCTCTCTCTCTCTCTCTCTCCCCCTCTCCCCTTCTCTCTCTGTGTAACTGACTTCCAAGTAAAATAAATAAATCTTTAAAAAAAGAGAGAGAAAGAGTTATACAGAGAGAGGAGGAGAGGCAAAGAGTGAGTCTTGCATCCACTGGTGCACTCCCCAATTGGCGACATGGTTGGAGCTGTGCCAATCCAAAGCCAGGCGCTTCCTCCAGGTCTTCCTATGCAGGTACAGGGGCCCAAGGACTTGAGCCATCTTCTACTGCTTTCCCAGGCCATAGCAGAGAGCTGGATTGGAAGTGGAGCAGTCTGGATTTGAACTGGCGCCCAGATGGGATGCCAGCACTGCAGGCAGCTTTACTCACTACGCCACAGCACTGGCCCCAACAGGCTTTTTTCTAAAAATTGAAAACCTGATCTTAAAATTTATATAGAAATGAGTGCACAGGACTTAAAACATTCAAAACAGCTTTCAAAAAGAAGTACGGCGTTAAAGAACTAACACTGCCTCATTTCAAGGCATAAAGCAAGTTATCAAGACAACATGGTGGGACCAGCGCTGTGGCATAGCAGGTAAAGCCGCTGCCTGCAGTACTAGCATCCCATATGGGTGTTGGTTCAAGTCCTGGCTGCTCCACTTCCGATCCAGCTCTCTGCTCTAGCCGGGGAAAGCAGTAAAAGATGGCCCAGATCCTTGGGCCCCTGCATCCGTGTGGGAGACCCAGAGGAAGCTCCTGGTTCATGGCTTCGGATCAGCACAGCTCCAGCCATTGCAGCCAATTGGGGAGTGAACTAGCGGATAGAAGACCTCTCTCTCTCTCTCTCTCTGCCTCTCCTCTCTGTGTATAACTCTGAGTTTCAAATAAATAAATAAATCTTAAAAAAAAAAAAAAAGACAACATGGTACTGCCATAAAGATCAATGGGACAAAATAGAAGCTAGAAATAAACCCATGCATATAACATATTAAGATAACTGTTTTTTTTTTTTTTTAAGATTTATTTGTTTATTTGAAAGTCAAAGAGAGAGAGGTCTTCATCTGCTGGTTCTCTTCCCAAATGGCCACGATGTCTGGAGCTGGGCCAATCCAAAGCCAGGAGCCAGGAGCTTCTTCCAGGTCTCCCATGCAAGTACAGGTGCCCACCGACTTGGGCCTTCTTCTACTGCTTTCCCAGACTATAGCAGAAAGCTGGATCGGAAGTGGAGTAGTCGGGACTGGAACCGGCACCCATATGGGATTCTGGCACTGAAGGCGGCAGCTTTACCTGCTATGCCACAGCACCGGCTCCAAGACAACTGATTTTTGACAGAGGTATAAAAGCAGTTCAGTGAAGAAATGGTCTTTTCAACAAATGATGCTGGAACAATGTAATATCCATATGCAAAAAAAATGCACATCTTATAGCAAATACAAAATTAGCTCAAACCATATCATAGATCTAACATAAAACCTCAAGGTAAAAAGCTTTTTGAAGAGAACATTAGCAAAGATAGTTGTAACCCTAGGTTGAACAGTAAGTTCCTAGTTAGAATCACAAAGACACAGTCCATAAAAGAAAAAAAAAATGATAAACTGGACTTCAGAATGAAAAGACTGCTATTCTTTAAAAGATATTGTTGAGAAAATAAAAAGCCAAGCCATAGACTGGAAGAAAGTGTTTGTAAAGTATATATCTGGTGACAAGTTGTATCCACTCTCAAAACTCAAATATAAAAAAAAAAATTTAGGAGGCCAGCATAGTGGGTTGAGCTACCGCCCCCAACACCAGCATCTCATTTTGGGCACCAATTTGTGTCCCAGCCGATCCACTTCTGATCCAGCTCCCTGCCAACGCCCCTGAGAAAGCAGCAGCAGATGACCCAAGTGCATAGGTCCCTACATGGGAAGCCCAAATGGAGTTCCAGTCTCTTGGCTTTGGCCTGACCCACGCCTGGTTGCTTTTGCCATTTGGGGAGTGAGCTAGCAGATTGAAGGTCTCTTTCTCTGTGTGTGTCTCTCCTTCTGTCACTTTGCTGTTGAAATAAATAAACTAAGTCTTTAAAAAAATATTAAATATATTAATGGTGTTAGTTGTTAGAGAACTGGAAATTAGAAGTGGAAGGAGATGCCACCACACATGTATTAAAAAGATGGGCCAAAGGAAGGCAAGGATGTAGGTGAACTGGAACTGTATGAGGGTACTTCCAAAAGTTCATGCGGAAAAACAGAATGGAAAAGCTTATTTGGGGACAAAACATTTTTAAACGTTGGCCTCATGTTTTCACAGTGTACACTGGCTATGAAGATTTTCAAATATGTTTATACATTGATGGTGGGAACATAAAAGATAAGACTACCACCACCTTGGAATATCATTTGGCAGTTTCATAGAAAGTTAGGCATTGATATATCCTGTGAACCATTCCACTCCTAGGTACTTGTCCAAGAGAGAAAAAAAATGTGTACATACGTACACAAATGTTCGTAGCAGCTTTCTTTGTAATAGCCAAAAACTGGAGACAGGACAGACGTCCAAGAACAGGTATCTGAAATACTTTGCAGTGAAACAGAACTCAGCAGCCACAAGGAAGGAACTACTGGTAAATGCTGTTGTAATATGGCTGAATAGCAGCAGAATTATGCTGCATGCAAGAAAGCAGACTAGAGAACGTGTGCTAGATGATTCATTGTATTGATTTGTTTACTTAAATACTTATTTGAAAGGCAGAGAGACAGACAGAACCATCCACTGGTTCACTCCTCAAATGCCTGCAACAGCCAGGCTGGGCCAGGTTGAAGCCAAGAGCGAATCCATCTGGAGCTCACATATGGATGGCAAGGACCCAAGTGCTTGGGCCAGCATCTGCTGCCTCCCACAGTATGCATTAACAGGAAGCTGCATAGGAAACAGAGCTGGGACTTGAACCTGGGCACTTTGACATAGGTTGCAGGTGTCCCAAGTGGTTTATTAACTGTTGCACCAAATGCCAACTACTTTATTTTTTTAATTTTTTAATTTTTATTATTTTTGTTGACAGGTAGAGTTATAGACAGTGAGAGAGAGAGAGAGAGAGAGAGAGAGAGAGAGAAAGGTCTTCTTTCTGTTGGTTCACTCCCCAAATGGCCGCTACAGCCAGCACTGCGCCGATCCAAAGCCAGGAGCCAGGTGCTTCTCCTGGTCTCCCATGCGGGTGCAGGGCCCAAGCACCTGGGCCATCCTCCAGTGCCCTCCCAGGCCACAGCAGACAGCTGGACTGGAGGAAGAGCAACCGGGACTAGAACCCGGCACCCATACGGGATGCTGGCACCGCAGGCAGAGGATTAGCCAAAAGAGCCATGGTGCCGGCCCCCAAATGCCAACTACTGTATGATTCCTTTTATATAAAATTCTAGAAATTGCAATCTAATCTCTGGTAGAAGAAAGCAGATGAGTGGTTGCCTAGGGACATGGAGGGAGGGGGACAGGAGGAAGAGATTACAAAGAGCTTGAGGACACTCTGGGGGTGATGATTTCATGGGTAAAAACATGTCAAAAATATCCAGTTGTACACTTGAAAAGTGTTCAGTTTATTGTATGTAATTATCCTTCAACAAAGCTACTAGAAAGAAAAAAGCTTATCAACCAAATGCACTAAGTTTGGATCCTGATTCAAACAGACTAACTGTGAAAAGAAATTGATAAGGCAATCCAGAAACACTTGAACTCTGGGTATTTGACAACACTGAGGACTTTGTAGTAACTGTTAATTGTTCTTAATGGTACTGACTGCGTATTTCTATCCAACATGATATGACATCTGGGATTTGCCTCCATATAATGTAGGAGTAGGGAAGGTGGAGTGGATAGAGTTATAACAACCTGGCTGTGAGTTGGTAACATTTGAAGCTGGGTAATTAGAGCAAGAGGTATGGTCAGTATAAGAGTACTTCAAAGGGTTCATGGGAAAATGGAATTTAAAAATAATCTTTTTCATGAACTTTATGAAGATTCTTCATGTACTCTTTTTGGACTTCTGTGTTTAAAATTTTCCATAACTTAAAAAAGTGGAGGAAAAAGGACACAAGCATTTGGCACAGAAGTTAAGATGCCACTTTTGAGATAACCCTCATCCCACATCAGAGTGCTTGGGTTCGAGTTGTGGTTCCGTTTCTATTTCCTGCTAATGCTCATCCTGGGAGACAGCAGAGGATGGCTCAAGTACTTGGGTCCCTGCCACCTGGCCCTGCCCCAGCTGTGGTAGGCATTTGGAGAGTGAACCAGTAGATGGGAGATATCTTTCTCTCTCTCTCTCTGTCTTTCTACCTTTGAAATAAATTTTTTTAAAAAAAGGGAGGGAGGGAGGGAGGGAGGAAGGAAGGAAGTGGGGGGAAGGGGGGAAGGAAGCGGGGAAGGACGGAAGGAGGGAAGGAGTCCCTATCACAGTGTCCCCGTGTGCACAGGTGTTCACCTTCACTTGGCGAGAGGACATCCGGCCTGGAGACCCCCAGCACACCAAGAAGTTCTGCTTTGACGCCATCTCCCACACCAGCCCTGTCACCCTCTACGACTGCCACAGCATGAAGGGCAACCAGCTGTGGAAGTACCGCACAGTAAGACCAGATGGGGGCTGGGGCGGCTTTGCAACCTGCTTAGGGTTTGTTTCCTTTTTAAGTGACATAGGCCACCCCCACTCACTCAGTTACTCCACAAACGGGCCATGCCCAGTTTTCCACTTGATTCAACAGAAGCTAGAAATCCAGACATTTACATGAAATCCCCAAATCTTAAATGTTGGCAACTGAGTCTGTTTAAAAAGAAAAGAAACACCCAGACACCACGAAGACCAGTGAAATTTGGCTCAAGATGGGCAGTATCAGGGCCCTGGAAGTGGCAGGCATTGGTCCTGCCACATCCCAGCAGCTAGAACCCTGTCACATGGCAACACCACTGCAAGGGAGGCCGCACGATGTCTGGCCGTGCGCTCAGGAAAACAGCGAACGGGTCTGTGAGCAGCTACCCAGTCCCTTCCTCACCTCCTCATTGCTGCTGCTGCTGCTGCTGCTGCTGCTTGTGTTCTGTGGCGCTGGCTGACTGATTCCCTCCCTGTTTTGTAGGACAAGACCCTGTACCACCCTGTCAGCGGCAGCTGCATGGACTGCAGCGAAAGTGACCACAGGATCTTCATGAACACGTGCAACCCTGCCTCACTTACCCAGCAGTGGCTGTTTGAACACACCAACTCCACGGTCTTGGAAAAATTCAATAGAAACTGAGCCCTCACATCCCCTTGGCAGGCCCAGCAGGGTCCCCTCGCTGCACCTGCCTCTCCTGAGGCAGGCAGAGCCTCCGTGGGTACCATGGTGTATCAGGTGCTGGCCAAACGATTCAAGGCAAAGAGGGCTTTGGAAGCTGGAGCAAGGGGTCTGCTTGGTCCCTGAGCCCCTCAGTCGTGAGGGCAGGGTGGGGGGCAGCCTCCACAAGAGGCCCCACAGGAAAGCAGAGCCTGCTTTAATCCCTGCTGGCACCATGGAAAAGCAGGAGGGCCTGTTTGACTTTGTAACCATGTCCCCTGGAGCACTGTGCCAGGCAGCCTGAGGCCATCCAGAAATAAGGCCTACAGGGTTGCCCAGGCCTCAAGCAGCTCTCATACACGACGGTGCTTTAGGAAGGCAACATCTGCCTGTTTGGGGCAGCTTTTAGCACCGATGTCACCCTTTTGCAGCAAAAGGGAAAGAAGTCCTCCTTGGGGTCCTTCAGTCTCTGCCTGTCTTACAGGGACAGCAGTTACTGATCAGCATCTGTTCTGTGTCTCAGCTCCAGGCGATTGGCTCAAAGGCCAAATCCAGGGCCCTCAGAGTGCTCCATGCTGAATGCCGGCCAGCTACCAGGCATGGGGTCAGACAAGGGGCCCCAGAAACTCCTTTGCAGCCATGGACATACAAGAGGTTCTCCCTCTGCTCTCTGAGTGCTGGAAGTGCTCGTTGTAGTACTTCCCAGGCACAAGCACAGCCGAGCCACCAGCTTTCCGGGGCTGTGATTCAGATGGCCGTGGGCCCATGGGAAAGGACAAGTAGGAGACCTGCCTAGAAATGCCGGCTGAGGTTCCCCGGTCCCTGCTTCCATTGCCCTCTCTCCGTGCTGGGCAGCCTCAAGAGAGGAAGGGAGGTGCTTTACCTCACAGAATCTGGAAGCCTCCAGGATCAGCTGCGGGCCAGATGCCTAGCCTCTCACCTTGTCGTGGTTCTGGTTCTCCTATAGAACTCCTGAGTTTTTAAAGGACCCTAGAGTTCATTCGCAAACTAGTTGCTATGTAGGTTTCTGGTGTAGTAGCCTCCAGTATGGATTTCCAGAATGTTATTACAAAAGCAACCAGAAAGGTATAATACAGTCAAGGTAACCCCCAGCCTAGAGGCATCTGTGAAATCCAAGGTTGGTGCCAAAGGGAGGAAGCATGAGGACCTGTGTCCATCAGCTTCCTCCAGAAGCTTCCATACAGCAAGGTCCTCAGGCAACACCTGAAGACCTGGAACTTCCCACCATCGTCACAGCTGCAGTCCTTTGCAGCGGAGAAAAGAACCCTGTGTCCTATGACCCTATCTGTTCCCAGCTCCATGCCAGCCCTTCACATTGACCTTTTGCTTTATTAATTACATATCAGACTCCCAAGGGGTTCCTGAACTAATAGGAAGCATTTCTGTAACCAACCTGCCACACCCTGATTCAGAAATGGAAATCACGTTCCACAACCCATGGCTTCTGCCGGTTAGCCCAGAAAGTACTTGAAATCACTATTCCAGTTAGAGCCGGATCTCTTGATTGCATCATTTACCAATTAAATAATACAAATCTGGGAACAGAGCCACGAACCTGCCTTTGAGATGCTGGCAAATCTCAAGGCCGACCATAATCGGGGAGAGAGGGGTGGTAATACCCCACCAAATTGAACGTTAGGCTGGCAAAGGATGGCTTCCACTTCTGCCCCCAGCACAGCCCTGCTCTGGACGGCTGTGTCCAGGAGAGGAGGCCGTGTGTTCGTGAGGCTTGCCGGCCGGTTCCTTGTGCCCTTTCCCAAGTGAGTGCCCTGTCTTTACAAGCGGCCCTCTACAGAAAGGGGTCAAAGACGAGGCTGCTTCTGAAATCTAGGGGAGCAAGAGTGTTGCACTTCGGGGAGATGAATTAAGAGTCATCATCCGAGAGCAACGCAGCATCATTCGAATAAAAACTGTGCCTTTTAAAAAAGAAAAAAAATGCAAATGTACAGCAAATCCCTAAACTTGAACCATTTCTTAGTGCCTTGCTAGAAGACGTAAAGGGGCAGGGGTCGGGGAGGGAAGCATTTTTGGTGGTGTGTGCAGTTCCTGTTGGATGAATGTGTTTCTTAACGTCTGATTTCAAGCGGGAGATGGTGGCCTGGAGCAAGAGCTGAGGCTGAGACGCCCGCAGGGGGTCCGAGTTGTTCCATCAGCGCGAGTAGCCCTCCCAGTTAAAGGGCTGCTGGGCAACTCGTTCCTGCTAGGAGGGCCTTGGTGGTCCCTGAGCACAGGCCCTGCATTACCTCACTGGGCCCTGTTTGGGGGTCGTGTTGCCATACCCTACCCCAACCCCTAGACAGAGGGATTGGCTTGTCCCTCTTCATTGGGATTCAGGAGTGCAGAGCATTGGCTAGATTCCCCAGTGGTCCCCTTCGTGGGTGGAAGGGGTCTGGCAAGACCAGGGTTCCTGTGGGATGCAGCCTCCCTTTTTCCTCTCCTTCAGTTCCCCCTTCCCAGGCCGACCTCACATCCTCAATGGGGATGGGCGAGTCCTCTGAGCACCCTGGCATTTGTCATGGCTGAGCCCACCACAGTGGGTCCTGGGAGCTGACTATGTAATGTGGAAAGGAAAGACAGAATTTTCTCAGTTCAGTGACAATGACCAGCTAATTTCCAGTGCTAACCCACTTGTTGTTTAGGACTCATTTTTGAAAACCGCTTGTGTTGAGGGTTCAGGTGTCTGCTCACATCCCCAGCTGAGGCTCAGCAAAACTCAGCCAGGAGCCTGTGGAGACATTGTCAGCCAAGTCATGGCTGGGAAAGTGGGCCTTGTATCCTCACCTGAGGACCAGCTCACAAGCGAGGGGATGGCAACAAAGTGCCCTGGCCGTGTGGCCTACCAGCCGTCCTTCCAAAGGAAGACTTCAGAAACATTTCGGAATGCAAACAACACCTTGGCTGTAAGTACAAGGCCTTTAGTGGCAGTTGAATCTGTAGGCCCATGTGTGAAAGCCATTCCATCACGTGCCCTTCCCTGGATCCTTCACCTCTGAAAACATCCTAGGAACTTCCCTTTAGGAAGAAATCACCCAGAACCAGATAGGGTGCAGAGGAAGAGTGTAGGGCTGTGACATTAGGGCCAGGGAGGAAAGAGCAGTTTGGGTTGAAGATGCAGCATGTGGATATCCAAGCCCACATTCCCATGCCCTTTTCGAACTTCCTACTGGTCAAATTCCTTTTTCTCCTTAAAAATTAAGTGACATCCTCAAAAATGGCTCCACACATTTCTTTCTGTGCATCTCATCTTCCTAGTCTCTGGAGTCTGAAAAAAGTGGCCGAGCCCTTTCCAGTAATAACTGAGAAGTCCAGATTCCTTGCTTCAGCGACACCTCATTTGTACGGATTGGGTGATCTTTTCTACTTCCTAGGAGGCAGTGCATTTTTAATGTTTTCTGAATATAAGTGTGGGAAAAAGGGCAAGAAGTGCAATTCTGTTCTGGAATTCTTTTCTGCTTTCAAATGATGGTCTAAAAAATATTTTAGCTTAAGCTTGATCTTGAGCCAAGGCTCACAGCCACCTCTGGGGTGAGAGTTGGGCCTGCGTACTAAGTGACAAGGTCATCCTAACATCCCCTTCCTAAATGGCTTTCATTCGTTTGTGCCTGACAACAGGGCTGGGCCCTGCTCTGTTACTGGCTTGGAGAGTGGGTTCCCCAAGGGGTTGCAGGCGGAATATATGGGCTTCCATAGAGAAGTCAGACTGAGACTCTGTAGAGAAAGTGCAAGACCACCAACCTCTCTCCTCCTGCCTGGAAAAGTGAGCCTTTGTGAAGAACTGACGTACCATGTACAGTTGTGACTGTGATTATTGTTGAGTAAACCTCCAGACTTTGTCTAAAGTGCTCTCTGCCTTATTCCTTGTGTGTGGTGTCCTCCCGTCTGTCATCCCTCCCCTCTTCACTGAGTACCTAGTCAATGTCCAGGCACTCATCGGGGTACTGAACAAATTCCCAACAGCCATTGCTCCCGAGGGAGAGAGGCAGGCCTTAGCTACCCACTGTGATGATTTCAGAGGCCAGTGGGGCCTTGAGGGATAGAAAATGATATTTGAGGGCCGGGGGTGGGCACCAATGTTAGTGAGGATGGCCAGGGCATGCCTCTTTATGAGAGAGAAGAGACGTGAGGGCTGAACAAATAGGCCGTTTGAGGGACGAGACTTCTAGGCAGAGGGGGCAGCTGATGCAAGGGCTCTGCGGTGGGAAGAAACTCCTACCTCAGCGCGTTGGAGCAGGAGGTAAGTGAGAGTTAGGTGAGGCAGCCCACAAAGGGTCTTCCAGACTGCACCCCGGAGTGGAGGACTGTAGGCAGGCAGTGACAACATGAAACAAACTTAGCTCCCTCTGATGCTCACCCGTTAGCCACAAGTACTTGTTTACGGGAACATTTTGATAATGTTGGCTACTAGCTTTGTCTAACACCATGTATAGAAAGACCCCCCCTGCCCCGGCAAGTCCAGCTCTGCAAAAAAATTCACTGAGACATGGTGCTAACCCTGGTCCACCTAGGCCTGTTATGTCGTTTCCAGCTCCACTTGTGGTTCTGCAGTTAAGTCTTGGTGGCCGCTGTGGGTGACCGTGAGCATGACGCCAGTGCTATCTCTTGGGGCCCACCAGGGGGCACTGTGGATCCTGGATTGGAGAAGGGTGAATGGGAGAAGAGAAATCCTGCCCATGCCACAGGTTTGAGCCTCAGAACAATTTCTTTCAGGTTCACGATGCCTCTGACTACTATTCCAAACTCTTAATTTCATATATTAAAAAAGTGAAGCCCTGGGAAGCCCCTGACCCAAAATGATTTAGTGGCGAGTGCCACAGCCCACGTTCCCAGTGTCCCTGCTCCCATGTTATCCTGGTACAATCTCATAGCCTTGTAGACATGGGGAAGGATTCCGATTCTAAAGCTCTTTGTACTTCCATGAAATAGATTTAGCCCAAAAATATTAGCTATATTTGTTGCATAAAAATGTATCAGAAACACCTACTGAATGCTAGAAATGAAAATATGGCGCAAGGATGAGCCAGGACAGACATGTGTGCCGCCCTCCTGGCTTGGGCCTAGAGAAAGACCTTCATCAGATGATCATGAAGATGAGGGTGCGGTTAAGAATGTGGTAAATTCTACGAAGGACAAGTGTGTGGGAGACTGCGTCATGAAACTTGGTCTTTGGAGCATGCTGAATCAGCCATGGTCTTGGCGTGAAATAGCCACTCCCAGGCTTACAGTGAAAGTATAATAAAAGGACTATTTAAGGAGTGTGGGCAGAGTTAAACAAATAACCCGCCATGCTGAAAGCACAGGAACCTACGGCCTAGCATAAAGGGTTACCACTGCCAAGCCTGCAGAGGCAAGAAGCATCAGTGTCAGTGGAATCCAGAAAGGGCTGTATGTAGCTAGGGAGAAGTGCTTCCTGAGCTACGGCTGAAGCAGAGAGGGACTGGGAGGAATGCAGGCTCTGCCCTCTCCTTTTTATCTACCTTGCAGTCACCTGACACTACCTCCCATTGGCTGATCTCAGTTATTCAAATCCTCATGAGCAAATGAAGAGCACTGGTCTGGGACTGGCGCTGTGATGTGGTGGGTGCACCAGCATCCTGCATCCCCCGTGGGCCCCGGTTTGACTCCCGATTGCTCTTCTTCCGGTCCAGCTCTCTGCTATCACCTAGGGTGGAGGGGGGTGGAGGGTGGCTGAAGTGCTTGGGTCCCTGCACCCACATGGGAGGCTCGGAGGAGGCTCCTGCCTCCCAGCTTCAGATCGGCCCATTTCCTTCCTTTGCAGCCATTTGGGGAATGAACCAGCATGGAAGACCTTTCTCTCTCTCTCTCCCTCTCTGTGTCTGTAGTTCTACCTCTCAAATAAATAAATAAAATCTTTAAAAAAAAAAAAACCACTGGTCAGTATAAATAGTAGGTAAGTACTCATAAAGAAGACAGTATAAGTGGGGCTTTGTAACTTTTCCCTCCTGTCTGACTTAAAACCACATAAATCGGCCGGCGCCATGGCTCACTAGGCTAATCCTCCACCTAGCGGCGCCGGCACACCGGGTTCTAGTCCCGGTCGGGGCGCCGGAATCTGTTCCGGTTGCCCCTCTTCCAGGCCAGCTCTCTGCTGTGGCCCGGAGTACAGTGGAAGATGGCCCGAGTGCTTGGGCCCTGCACCCCATGGGAGACCAGGAGAAGCACCTGGCTCCTGCCATCAGATCAGCGTGGTGTGCCGGCCGTGGCGGCCATTGGAAGATGAACCAACAGCAAAAGGAAGACCTTTCTCTCTGTCTCTCTCTCACTGTCCACTCTGCCTGTCAAAAACCAAACAAACAAACAAACAAAAAAAACACATAAATCAGTAAGTATAAGTATGTTGGTGCACGTGCAATGTATAAGGAAGTATGTGATTCTTAGGACAATACAGGCCAAAGGTGGGGAGGAGCAGAACTAAGAAGGGGCAAAGTTGCTGTATACTACTGAAATGGAGTTGATAGTAAGCCAAACCACATGTGTTTAAATAAGATGTAAATTGCATAAGTGGGCATTTTTCATGGCAGTTAAGATGCTACTTGGGATGCCTGCATCCCATATTGGAGTGCCTGGGTTTAAGACCTGGCTCTACTTGTAATGCCAGCTTCCTGCTAATGTGCACCCTGGGAGGCCTCTGCCATCCTTGTGGGAGACCCCAGTGCAGTTCTGGACTCCTGGCTTTGGCCTGTCCTGGCCCTGGCCATTGCAGCCATTTGAGGAGTGAACCAGCAGATGGAATATTCTCTCTCTCTCTCTCTCTGAAACTCTGCCTTTCAAATAAATAAATAATTATTTAATAAAAAAAGTTTTCCTAAAATATGGGCAAAGATTTGAACTTTTTTTATTTTTTTAAAGATTTATTTTATTTATTTGAAAGAGTTACAGAGAGAGGTAGAGAGAAAGAGGTCTTCCATCCACTGGTTCACTCCCCAAATGGCCGCAACAGCTGGAGCTGAGCTGATCTGAAACCAGGAGCTTCTTCTGGGTCTCCCATGTGGGTGCAGGGGCCCAAGAACTTGGGCTATCCTCTGCTGCTTTCCCAGGTGCATTAGCAGGGAGCTGAATTGGAAGCAGAGCAGCAGAACTTGAACTGGTGCCCATATGGGATGTTGGTGCTGCAGGCCAGGATTTTAACCCACTGCACCGCAGCGCCAGCCCCAAACATTATTTAAAGAAAATATATAAATAATATAAATAACCATGGAACATAAATAGCACATAAGAAGATATCAGCATCATTAGTCATTAGGGAAATGTAAGCTTGAACATACAAATAAATGGCATTCATCCATTTAATGGAATATTGTTCAGCCATAGAAGGGAATAAATTACTGATATATGCTACAGCATGAATAAACCTTGAAAATATGCTAAGTGAAAACAGCCAGACACAAAAGGCCTCAGATGTGAAAAGTCCGAAATAGGCAAATCCATAGAGAAAGGAGATTGGTGGTCATCAGGGCAAAGAAGAGGGAATGGGAAGTTGCTGCTACTATGAATGGGGTTTCTTTTGGGGGTGATGGAAATGTTCTGGAATTAGGAGGTGCTGGTGGCTATACAGTCTGTGAACATACTACAAACCCCTGAGTTGTATACTTTAAAGAAGTTTTATGGTACGCGAGTTTTTACACAGTTATCACTCAGGGCTGAAGAGGGCATCTGGGGTGAGATGGTGAAGACAGACTGTTGTCCCTGTCAGAATAGGCGGAATGCATCTGTGCTCAGCACTAGCTCGCTTACTGATTGTTATCTATGTGTGTGTGTGTCTATGTGTGTGTGTATTCTTTTCTAAGTCCTAGTTCTTTCATTGTTTCGTTCTATGTAGACATTAAAGCTTTGGCCTATAATTGCATTTTATTTTGCACATAAATTTTATGTGGCCACATGTACCCCTATTTTCTTTTGTAATTTCCTTTGTTTATTTTGTTTGTTTAATAAGTCTTTTTGGACAGGCCTTGTGGCTCAGAGGTTGTAACGCTGCTACTTGGGACGCCCACATCCCATATCAGTGTGCCTGGGTTCAAGTGCCAGCTTCTTTGTTTCTGATTTAGCTTCCTCCTAATGCACATGCTGGGAGGCAACAGATGATGGCTCAAGTATTGGGGTCCCTGACACCCATGTAAGAAACCTACATGGAGTTCTGTCTCCTGGCTTCAGCCTGGCCAGCTCTGGCTGTTTGTGAGCATCTGGGGACTATCTCTGGTGCTCTGCCTTTCAAATAAATAAAAATGAATATACTTTTTAAAACCTCGCTTATTTCTTTAAAAAAAATTGAACTCTTTTACTTGGAGAAGGAGAAGGGGAAGGGGAGACTGACTATTTGGGTGCAGGGGCAGCATGTGCAAAGACCCCGTGGAGAGAGTATGGAGGGGATGAAGGTCGGGGAGGCTGGAGCAGCAAGTACGAAAGAGAACAAGAAGGAAACAGGAGGCAGAAGCCAGACTGTAAGGGGCCTCATGGGCCTTGATAGGCAGTCTCTGATCTTTATTTGAAGAGCAAAAAGAACGTCAAGAGGGTTTCAGATGAGAACATCAGATGTGCCCTTGACTGACCTCTGGAAGCAGGCAGTGACTTGCTTCAAATGCTGGACACATAGGAGGCCCCTGGGCCTGCAAGGTAGGAAACAAGCCCTGTGCAGCCAGCCCTCCGGTGTCTCCTCAAGGACACTGACCCTGGGGAGGAAATGTCCTTCCTCCCTGGAGCAGTAGGAGGGTGGGGATGGGGCAGAGCCTCTCTCCTCCATTTCAACACCCGCTTCCTGCCAGTCTGCAAGTGCGAGTAGAATCCCGGGTGTCTTAGATGCTCAGCCTAACAGAGTGAGATCATT